GAATCAGACTTAGACTGGGGGTTGTTGTGTGATCTTGTCCTTCTTTCGTTGTAACGAAAAAAAACCCTTTGTAATAAACGGAATTCATTTTTCAATTATGATTGCAACAAAATGTTCTTGGTGTCATAATATTATTATATTGGTATTGCATGTATGTGCGTACATAATAGGTCTTTATTTCAGCCAGTCAAAATACCCAAGTCTTTGAGAGAGCTAATTCAAGTACTTTAATTGAATCAAACGTTGTTTATAGGCCAAGTAACCCTTGTGAAGAACAACATTGAAAGCAGGGAAGTCAGTATGGGTTGTTGGGAGTCTGAGAATCTTCACTTGCTCGCTGTGGAACTCACGGATCAGCCAGTACGGAATGTCATCAATGTTTATGCCTGTAATGGATCTGTAGATGAAAAGGAATGGGGTAAGTTAGAAAACATTCGACAAACACTCTCTGGTCAGACTTTATTTTGTGGAGATTTCAACGCCCGAGGTATCCAGTGGGGTAATATCAAGGACAACGCACAGGGAGTTGATTTAGAAAATGCTCTAGACTCGTGTGATCTAGCTATACTAAATGATGGGAGAATGACACGCATGGCACAGAGGAAAAATGATACAGACAGTGCAATAGACTTGGCTTTAGTTTCTGTACAGATGGCAGCTAAATGTAGATGGGACGTTTTGAGCAGTCACGGAAGCGACCATCTTCCATGCCGAGTCTATATCAGAAAGACTCTTGAGAAATGTGGCCCGAAGAGGAAGAGACCATTTAGATACACACTTTTGGAGACTGACCCTATCACCATTCTACGCAAGAACACAAAAGAAAAGAGCCAATGCATAAGAAAGGACATGACTAAACCCCCATGGTGGAATGAGGAAATACAGGAGCACTGGGTTATTAAAAGAAAAGCACTTAGAGCGGCTCAAAGGAATCGAATGAATCCAGAACTCCAGGAAGCTGCAAAAAAGGCATCAAAGACTTTTAAAGAAACAGCAGAGCAGGAGAAAAACAAGAAATGGGAAGACTTCTGCCAGAATATTACAGGTGACAGATCTCTACAAAAGTTTTGGAGGTTTCACAAGGCAATGAACAACAGTCAGTCAAGAACATGCCTTCCTGATTTTCAGACAGAGGACAGTACGTGGGTTAGATCGGAAGAGGAGAAAGGGCAGGCTCTTTTGAACAGATACCTGCGACAAACGAATCAGAACAATGAGAACGAAAGAATGAGCATTCTAAGGGACATAGAAGGAAGATACTGGGAAGGAGAGGAAGAGTTAAAAGTCACATTGGAGGCTGTTCGAAATATACTTAAGACGGCACCTGACACAGCACCAGGCCCAGATGGGGTGCGTTATTCCCACATCAAGGATCTGGATGACCGCAACTTGGAGAGTCTCGCAAACATCCTGGATACTAGTTTGCATGACGGGTTGGTTCCACAGGATTGGCTGGACAGTTATCTTACACCCCTACCAAAGCCCGGGAAGGACCCCACAAAAATTGAGTCCTACAGGATTATCACAATGCAAAACACGGTGGGGAAACTAATGGAAAAAATGGTGTCCAGATGGATGTCCAATTTCTTAGAGCGCAACAATCTGATACCTGTGGAACTTGGAAGCTACCGCCCTGGTAAGGACACCTGGAGGAATGCGGCAATTTTGGCCTCCGACATATACGACGGTTTTGAGGAGGGAAAAGAGACACTAGTCGCCGCAATAGATCTAGAAGATGCTTATAACCGGGTGCCCTTTAGCTTGATCATGCGAACTATGATCAATATGAAAATCGACTCTGAAATGCCTTGTTAAATAGAAAGGTTTTCTTGCGCCTTGGCAGCTGGGCTTCTGAACCTATTACCATAACCCCAGGACTGCCCCAGGGATCGGCCCTGTCACCAGTCTTGTTCAATACATACACCATCGGTCTTACAGCCAATCAGTTGGAGGGACCTGGCCGTACGCTAAGCTTTGCAGATGATGTATTGGTATATAGGCAGGGGAGAGATCGGAAGCTGATTGCAAGGAGCATGCAGGAGGAATTGGATCGAATTGGTGAATGGTGCGAACAGAACAATGGAAAACTTAATCCAGCGAAGGCAGGGGTACTGTGGACCAGTCTCAACAACAGGGCAGTCAAGCTATCATGCCTACTGTCAATATACAAGGCACACAGTTGGAAAGGCAAGAGAAATTGAAGTACCTGGGCATTACCTTTGACCGCACCCTCTCGGCAAAAGACCATGTGACGAATATTATCACCAGAGCAAGGAAAGGACTTGTTGCACTGAGAGTGATGGCTGCATCTATGCCCCAACGCGCCCTTATGATCATGCTTCAAGCGGTTGTACTGTCTGTAGTGGACTATGGCCTTGGTATGCTCACCCTATCCAAAACCCAGCTACATCGCCTCGAAGTCATTCAAAATGAAGGAATGAGAACTGTTCTGGGATGCACCCATGACACAGCAGCATCAGCGATGAGATATCTGCTGGACCTGCCAACGTTAACCCACCGACACAAACTAGCACAAGTCAAGGCCTACCTTCGAGTAACAGCAGACGAACGTCACCCTCTACATCCGAAAATAGGAAACCAAGTGCGCCAAAGATTGAAAAGAGAATCTTCATGGATGGTGCAGGCGGAGCGAACTCTCGGTATGTGCTGTGAAATCGAGGACATAAAAAGAGGATGTGACTGGATGAGGCCGGAAAAAGACATGAGCAACTTCATGAAGGTGATAGCTACGCTAGGTCGAGAGTGTCGCGAGTGGCCAGCAAATGCAACTAATTCGGAAATCGAGGCCATTGTTGAGGAAAATTCAGTGAGGGGTGATGTTGTCGTCTTCACCGACGGATCAGTGAGGCGTGGCCAGAAATCTGGGTGGGCGTTCAGTGCTCGAGTTGACGGGAAGATAATTAAAGAACAATCTGGAGCCTACGAGTGCACTATGTCGAGCATGGCAATGGAGGTCAAGGCAATAACACAGGCGCTGGAATGGATCAGCATGGAAGCGTATAAACATGCCCTGTTTGTCACAGACTCGATGAGCACCCTAGAAAAAATGAGGAGTGGGTGGCTCTACAGTGACTGGAGAGCTTCCATTGCAAATAGCCACCTCCTAAGAATTACATGGGTGTTCTGCCCTGGTCACGCCGGGGTGCACGGAAATGAGCGTGCTGATGAACTTGCCGGCAAAGCAACACCCAATGGGCGAATCATGCTCGACCCACCAATGGTGATCGCCAGATGCAAGGAGAGCCTTCTCAACCAAGAGGAGACAGATTCCCACACACTCAGCACAATAAAAGGAAAGTGTGTGCGGGGCACAGCGAAAAAAAGTTTGCTCCGAGGAGTGGTCAGGCGTGTCTCAAACCAGCCCCTCATGGAGACAATTAGCAGGAAGACCCTGATGTGGACGCTGGAAAGGAGAGATGAGCAGCTATGGACATGCGCCGCCTGCTATGATTCTAGCTCTGGATCCAAGTAAGTTGTTTATAGGTTTAAAGAGACGGGTCACTTGTGTTTTGAACCCCCTCCCGGTAACACTGATCATTTGACTTTTATAAAAAAGTAAAAGAGGAGAGATGCATATTGTTAACTCTTTGTGAGACACATTTTATCATCAAATGGCCATGTGGTGTAGAGTGTTCGGCTCAGAAAGATTTAAAAGAAGTAGGCAGTCTTTGTATTCCATAATTAACCTATCTTCGATGGATCTCCATACATATGCCTGTGGTGCGATGGCTTACACTTCGCCTTTTAAAAAATAATGTAGATGTTTTACGCCACTATCAACACATTTTAGATCATACTGAACGTTGTTTGGACCCTGTCTGTCAAGGCCTACCCGTCAGGCTTAACCGCTACACCGCAGACGCTGGTTTCCTTGTCTTAAAAACGCCGAAGACGTAAGTTTGAATTGGGGGGGGGGGGGCACGTTTATTACATTGAGTACCTATATCAGTCTCCTGAGATGCTACGTCCCGTTCAGATTGACGAGTCTGCTCTATCAAGTTGGGTCGAAGCAGCCCACCTCTTAAATGGTATTATAGATTGTGTCGATGGGGGCGTAAAACATTTAGGCTACTATCCTTTGTAGCCAGAAAATGTGTCTTAATTGTTTCTCTGTCTGTTGTTTTTATACAGCTCAGGCATGAAAAAGCTATCACTTTTGTCTTGGAAAGTGATAAGTGAACTAAAACTCAAAGTAATGTGGAGTATATTATTATCAGTGACACAGTGCTCAAGTGCGTGGTGAATACGGTGTGTCCTTGAGCAAGACGTGATTCAGATAATCATCCTCCAAAAAATAGAGTGCTGCACAGTGGCAACTAGCATTGGCATGTTTACAAAATTGTCTGTACTGGCGTGAATTGGCTAGAATTAATATACATGATGTGTATCAAGTGGCATAGATGAATTACATACAGTCTAGCATGCACAGAGTGAACTGATTTTAAAGTCCCGAATTTTTTCAGGCACGTATATCCTTAGTACATGTATTAAACTTCCAAGTGTAGATGGCCGATGAGACGGCTGTAAGTTTAATTCTTGAGGCAGATTTAAAGTCAGAATTTGAGTAGCAGTATCAGTTCATTTATCCATTTTTTAAAAACCACCAAACATTTCAACTCCTTCATATTACAATTTCCCCACACAACAAAGGCTATTTGTTGGAGGGTTAAAACATATAACAGCAAATTCCGTACAAAGTGAAATGATTTCAGCATTCCACTGATTTGTACATGCTAAATTGTACTTGTGCTTGTCATTGTACACAAAATGTCTTCTCAGGGGACTGAAAAAAAAAGTATCTTATTTATACCAGCTAAAACAAAGCACGGTATATCAACAGTACTTTAGTTGAGATCTTCTTCTTTGGTGTGGATCTGTGTCTCTGGCTCAGTTGCCCACAGTAACATACACTTGTCAGTATAAAATGTGCACTGGTCTGCTTTATGGTACAGAAACAAAAAAGAAAGAAAACTAATTCATTCACAGTGTTGATGTCCGATGAGTTCTGATAAAACTGGTTTATTGATATATCACATTGTAAACATAACATAATCATTCACAACATCTCTCTCATCACTTTCTTTCACTGGTACATAGGCTATTTTTTTTTTTCACACATAGAAGGCAGAAATAACCAAAATATAGTTATTCTCAGTAAATTTTTAAAATCCTCCAATTACACTGTACAAAACTGGAAAACTATAGGAACAAATAAACATGATCTCTATAGAAACTTTGCACATGAACAGCTGCTACAATAACTCAAAGTATATCACTTCTTTCATGAACAACAAACACAAGATATTTACAATGATATAATCTAATATATCGCAAGAAAACTAATTGTTTGATTTGCATCAAATAAATACTCTGAACATTATATTTCTGCTATCACTTGATTCACATGAGTTGTTTCTATACTCCGACTTCCCTCATACTATCAGGAAGATGTACTAAAAGCAGACATCTTGTTTACTCAAAGGGCTGGTTATGAAATTCTCCTTGCTTTTTTTATGCATCAATGCAATAGAAATAGAAATGTCTAGTAAATAATTTTTGCCCCGAAAAGAAAAAGGGACCAGGGAGATGGACAGATATAAATTTATGTGATTCTACCATTTAAACATTGAGAATTCTAAGACTATGTCCAATGTAACCAACTGCAACTTTTATATGGTTATAGAATAGAGTTTTCATGCACAACCTGAGAAAAGTTTCTAATACTGTAAAATATTTATTTGAAGAATCTTAACTTTTTATTTTGTACGTATGAGCTGAAATATTGCATAAACATTTTTCTTTAGAATGTTCAAGAAAAGGACGGTCTTCAAATTTCCTTGTTTTCCATAACTGTGCTTGTTTCATCAGTAAATCACAGATTAGGCTTTTGCAAAGATCCTTGAACCTCTTTGTACTTTCTAGTCTTCTTCCTCTTGGCGTACAATGGGGACACCTGGAAAGGGTATTGAATAAAAGGCAGCGTTAAGTTAAGGAAGAAAGCAATCTGCTCTGAATGTAACATCTGGTAGACAAGCTTTTTTTGAGAAAACACATCAACATATTCAGATAATATGCTTCACTGTTGAAGGCCTATCTATATGATTCAAAGAACAAACTGTTATAATACTAATTAATACAAGTATTCATACTTGATGCATTTCTTACATTAGAACACAGCAAAAATTCTACAATTTAGCTAGTACCCTGCATCAGGATTGATAATTTAAATATAAAAAATGAGAAGAGCTAGCACAAACCAGCAAAATAAGCTGTTAACTCATATATTTTCCTCCGTATTTTTTAAAATGTATAAATAATAATAACCAGAAAACAATTCAGTATGATGATCCATTTCTTCCCATTTCTAAATATTACTAGAATGGATATTTCAGTTTAAAATTCCTTTCTGACAAGAAAAATGTTAAGAATACAGAAGTGGAAAAAGACCAATGACATTCAAGGATAAATGACACAGCTCCTTGTTGGCTCACAACATTTTTTCTTTTATTACAATCTGTAGTAGATAGTTAATGAATGAAACATATACACATAAGTAAGCACAGGCCTGGAAAAACACAAGATACAAAAAAAGGCTCACCATCCAATTTCTTCAATTTTGGTAGTTTCTTTGCAACTTCATCTTTCCAGTTTCCTTCTGCTGTTTGTTTCTCCTCTAAGGGGTTTCCTGAATAGAAATGACAATAATTCTGGGACTTATCAATCAATTTCCACAAGAAGAAAGCATGAATTTGCCATACGAATTAAAGAAAAAATACACAACTGTTTTGTACAGATTGGAATAAAAATCTCTTTCTTGATTGTAAAATGGAGTTCCAGGCAAATATCATGTCTGACAAAGAAACTATAGAACTCCTAAAAATATACATTCAAGAGGTTTACTGTAGGTAATATATTCAAAATCCCAATAAGATTACACATACTTCCGACAGAAAAGGGGGTCAAATAAAAATTGAAGTATGAGGCTGGGGACCTCTCAAAGGAGAAAATGAAAGAAAAGACGAAAAACAGAAAAATAGAGGCAATACAATTTTTTACTTTCAGTTTACTCAAATAAAAAAGATTAACAGCGGCACCCCGACATAATTAATGGTAGATGTTTTCTGTCATGCAGTGACAGTGGATTGAGACATATTTAACACATCCACTGGGATTAAACAAATTAACATATTACCGTAAAATGAACAAAACATATCTAAGCTTCAGAGACATAAGTAGAACAATTCGATCTTTTATCAGAACAAATTTTGTGCACTCATATCATTGAAATGTATCATGTTTTAAGAAATGTATGCAGAAAGCACGAAATGAAATTCTGTTAAATGTCGTGAGGCAAAGTACATACCAACAAAAAGTAAATCCTCAAGACAGGGCATTTCAATCTGCAGATTAGAAAAAAAATAATAAATCAACAGTCGCTTGATAAAATACAGACTCTGCTCTGGTTTACAACAGACAGAAAATGTAACAGAATATCATTGTTATGTGAAACATCCATATGGTCTAACAAAGGATAAACCCAAATCTACAGATGCAAAGGCATTTAAATACATGTAAAGGCAGAAACAAATAATGCAGTTCTCCAAAAGTATATATTTTCATTGCTATTGCAGTCCTTATCCCTGATGTTATGGTCATAATCTACATTTTCATTATCTCTGTGTTCACGTGCCATAACCATTTCTTTCAAGGTATAAAATGGCAGACAATCACATGATTTTTATAACTTGTCTAGCACTGAAATGTCAAAAGCTGATAAAAACCTAGTTATAGAATGAAAGACATTTAATTTGCATACCAATTTGTTGAACTCTGTCCAGTCTACGACTTTGTTGTTGGACATCCATAAGATCTGAAGATGAAGACACAAACAGGTTAAAAGTAACTAGATCTAGTAAGAATGAATTGAAAGCTGACCAAAAAAAGGAATGCAATAAATAGTAGTGATTTGGACTGGGAGAAACAAAGGTTGAATATTATGTGTATAGGCTGAATCAATAGCGGGCACACTGGTTTTGACCTCTATGATATGAGCGGCTCTGTGAAAACCAGTGAGAAAGGGAACATTTTCTAAACTAACATGTATGATCATTTTAAAGTGCAGTTTGCTATTCATTTCTGTGTAATTGGAGCATTAGCACAGTTCCTGCCTTTTCCTGCTGTGATAATATTCAAGCACACTGGGTTTCCATGGAATGGCAGTAAAATTCCCAATAGTTTTGTTTTGAAAAAAATATGAGAACAATTCTATTTAAGTCATATCAGAGTGCATTTCTGGTATATCTACCCAAAATGTCCCTCGTAGATCAATAAAGCTATCTTTTCTTAAAAAGTTCCAACATCAAATATGTCTTAGCATAAAAAATTAAAGCTATTTTGTCACAAGAATGTTTCAGTTACAGCTAGTCATGGAAGACTTAAAATATACAGGGAATAATTGCTCTACTCAGCAAAGAAACAGACCAATTTCAGAGGTGAGAAAACCAATTGCCTCTAACAAAATTTATACCAACATATAATTTACTAACACTTCTAACAGAGAGCAAAAGGAAACAGATGACGGGGAAAAAAATGAAGTGAAAATATCAAAAGTATAAGAAAATATAATTAAAGAGAAAATATATTATTGTGAAGTTTGGTGTGTTGACAGACAGGGGCGAAATATATAACAAACACGACAACCTTCGTGTATGGTTGGACGTTAACTGATGAACAAGATTCCTTTATTCAGTACAAACAGAAATAAGGGTAGAAGAACAGGCAATTCAGTATGTGCTACACATTAATTTAATATAAGTACCGCGTATAGCGTGAAGAGTAATTAGAGAACCGTATAACATATTTCGCAAATACAAAGACAAAGACATGTGGGTGAATGAACCTGACAGAGAATTATGAGCACTAAAGTAACACACATGCAAAATTGCCTGACCTTCAGTTTTTTCAGGACATTGATACCCTTGAGCTTCTCAATATTATTGTAGGAAATCCACAACTGCTCCAGTGTGTCTCCAACAGCTTCCTATAGGTTCAAAACAAAGAGAATTGCTTTTTAAAAATACATTTCAGTCCAACAAAAAATCCACATACACCCCCCCCCCCCCCCCCCCTCTCCACCCCTAAATACAAAGGAAATATTCCGTTCAATTCTCTTGTTCAACCTATACAAAATATAATGATAATACGAATATAACGGAACAGTCAAATAAGTTTTATTTCAACCTCCATGTGTTTATTTTTGTTTGAGTTTACATGCCAGACAAAAGCAGGTCTTTTTCATAAAAGCCTTAACATTAATAAGTTTCTAGGATTTACCATTTAAAAAAATATAATATAGATTCCTCTGATGATGGACTGGAGTGTGAGAGAAAGCTAGACTGAAGATATAGTGAGTACATAGGAAAGACTCTATTGTCACACCAGGAGGGCTGTGGTGTACAATATGTTGATAAGAGGGTTGCAACCCTTGTTGAAGGGAATGAAGATTAATTATTTTGTATCCCTTATTTTGCCTAAAAAGCAACAGGAAAGTGAACAAAGCATGCATATATATCAATCTGATATTTACATCAATTTATAGCAGTAGCTTTCATTTGGCATAAAAAGCTGAAAAAGAAAATATTAAAATTCAAAACAAAAGCTAGCTCATCATGGCAAGGGAGGAAGTCAAAATGTTGTTCAAGGAAAGAATGTTTACTCACCAAGCCCGTTAAACTCTTGATATTATTACGCCCAAGTGACAAAATCTTCAAGTTTTCTGAAAAGAGTACCAAAGCACTATGCATGACCATAAAAAATTTGAAAAACAAACAAACAACAGAATGAACAACAAAAACGCAACTTTACAATTTTAACATGACTTCAAGGTGCCAGTCCATTAGAATTCCAATAAAATTTGAAGAATAACCTTAAGAATCAATTTAGCATGGACACCACATAAGCGTGGCAGCACCTTTTAATTATAAGAAGAAACATTGTTGAAAAGAAATGAGAAAAGTATTTACTAGAAGACATTGTTTAACACACTACATGAATTAAAAAAATATCCCACACTTAAAGTTGAGTTGAGATGCTCATATGGATAACATATTCAATAGAAAGAAAATAGTCTACAGATATCCATGTCGTTATCGAACTGCGGAAGAAAATTACTTACTCAGCCCGTTCAAGTTGGCAATCTTTTCAATGGCATTTGTAGACAAGGAAAGTTTTCTGAACAGAAACAGAAATAAATAGAAATACTGGGTTAGTAAGAGGTCATAAAAAGCTATTTAACAAATGGCATGCATCAATTCCTTAATGTATTTTTAACTCACAGGTTACTCATTCAGCAATGGCAACTGAGGAAAAAGAATGTTATTGGTAAATGAGAACTTCTATTTTTGTTCCTGCTTAACCTTGCAGACGCTAATGGGGTCACAGGTAGAGGCACAGTATTAGGACACATCTTAGAGTAAAAGCAAAAGATGAAATGGGTCAACTTCGGGGATTTATGGCAATGCGGAGAAGAATTTTTTCTGGGAAACAAGACTGGGATTCTCTTTGAAATTAATTTCTAAAGGTCATAATAATAAGCAAATCTTGATATGATAACACTTAAACATTAATTCACATGAGAACGTTTCTGTAGGCACATAAAAGTAAAATTCCTTTGTCTTGAGCATGTTGGGCCATGATTAAAAGTGTACAAAAACCACCCATGGTCTTTGTGTCAAATGACCGGTTTGTACACAGATAAACACATGTAATATTGCTTGTTCAGTGACCAATCTGTGTGATTTATGCCCACAGCATCAGCAGGGTTAACATATAAAGTTATTGAATTGTGTGAGGAACTGGAATATTTGTACAGAAGCATTGTACTAAAAAATAGTATATGAGACAGTAGTAAAAGGTAAAAGTAAATTCAGAGAAAGTAAATAATCTACCAGGCAATATCAAATATTTTGTCATATCACATACTCAATATCACCAAAAAAATTCCAACCCATAGAAACAAACCCCCCCAAAAAAATTCTGTTAACTCTAAAAGATGAATAATTCAACTTTTCTGAACTGAGTGAAACTTAAAACCATTGATTTGACTGAGACTGAGAGTAAAACCTGCTAGTAAACTACAGAAAAGACAACAACAAAAACAAATTGTTACGCAAAACTTGTCGAGCACACCGAAACTTACTCGCATGTGGTGAGGGTTGACAGAGAGGCATCCATTTTCTCGATGGGAGGACAGACGCCAATCAACTTTACTTCTTTTGACTCACTCGCCTTTCCATTTTTCTCTTCCTACAAGAATGATAGAAACATTTTTTTTAAAGACTGAGACCATCTACTCTCTCTCTCTCTCTCCCTCCCCCCCCTCTCTCTCTCTCTCTCTCTCTCTCTACCCCCCCTCCCCTCTTTCTTACTTCTTACCCTCTCCTTTTCCCTTCTGGTTTTTTCCTTCTCCCTTTCTCAAATACTCAAACAAATGTCTGTTCCCCACACTCACTCATTTCAACCCCACTTAAAGCAGACAAGATTTAACTAAATTCTCCGCAGGACAAGACAACAGTCTAGTTTGTACATAGCAAACACACACATAGTGAAAAATTCACATATTGAACAGATCAGGTCCCAGATTTGCTAAAAAGTCAATAGAGTAGCGACAGGGTTGTGCGACAAGGGGGGGGGGGGGGACAGCGCGCCAACCCTGTGGTATGAACCAATTTAAACATGTTAGAGCGTTCCTGCGTTGATCAACATCCGGCAGCACCCTTTCCTGTTGCACGAGAATATTGGCAGGTCACTGTAGTTGTTTACTGCACGTACACAGAGGCAAATTATTTCCAGTCTTGCTTATTATGTATTGTAACAGTAACAGTGCATCGACCTGCAGTTGTAAGGCTGTCAATGCATTTTATGAAGATGTGTATACTTGTACTACATACAAAGCAGTGTGTTGTGCGTGTAGCATCAGTGCAAAGCAAAGCACGAAGCTGCTCAGCATCTCTGAGGGGATGGATGGGGGTAGGGATGCAGTGCCGACATGGCGTCTGGTAAGGCGGGGTTTCGCGTCTCGGACCTCTGCAGCGAGAACGGGGTAATATTATATTGCCTCAAGGCCCACACTAGCCACCTGACACAGGCTCTAGACCAGGTGTTCTTCGGGGCCATCAAACCAGCGTGGAAAGAAGGGGTAAGGAAGTTCGTGACCGACACCACGGAATCCGTCACACTGAGGACGTTTGCCGGCATCCTGAAGAAGGCCTGGACAACAGCAGCTCGGCTGGAAATAGTCATGAAGGGATTCACCAAGTCAGGGCTGTTTCTCTACAACCCTGACGTTGTCCTCAAAAGTGACAAGCTGAACCCAGCTGCACCTCCACAGGGTCCCCTGCCCCTACCCTCCACTTGTCATCCACCTCTTCTGCCTCTGTACCATCCACGACATCACAAACTCGCCGTCATCGACTCAAGGAAATATTCTCCTTGAACTTTAAGCTTGGGGAGGAGAAGGTGGACCTGTACCTCAAGAGGTATGACAATGGATACAACCTCAAGATTGACCCCGACTACAACATGTGGTCCAATATGATGGACGATATTGAACAACTGGCTCCTCCGCTCCCCCAGCCATCAGCAAGAGCCCTGGAACCTCAGACCCCCTCCAGGCAGATGACCATCGAAAAGGTGCTCACATTACCGTCATGTTCAAAGAACAAGGCCGTTAGAAGGCCTCAGCCACCTGTGCCACCGTCCATCAGTGGAAATGACTAGAAAGAGATGATACACACAAAGAAGAGGAAGGCGGAAGAAAAACAGCAGAAGGAAGAGAGAAAGAAGCAAAGGGAGCAGAGAAAGATGGAACGGCTAGCACAAGCTGAAGACAAGAGGGGACGCCAAAAAGAGAAAAAAAACAAAGGGAGCAGGCAAAGAAGGAGAAAGAGGAGGAGAAGAAGAGAAGAATTCAGGAGAAGAAGATGAATGCTTTGATTGTGGCCTCACAGAAGAAGAAAGAGGACGAAGATTCCTCTGACTCAGGAGAAGAGCTGGTGTATGATGACAGCTCCGACGATTGTGCTGTCGACTGTGCTGGGTGTGGAGCCACCACCGCAGGACAAGTAGTGCGCACCCAGTGCATGCTTTGTGACAAGTCGTGGCATGTCAACTGTGTCAAACAGATGGACCTGAAGGACAAAACTCTGGGAGACCTGGATGCCATGGACATCAAGCTCCTTTGCTGTATTGACTACTCCCCATCCCAATTTGTTTCATACAAATAGTGTAAACAATATCTTTGTTTATCCATGTGCACTTAGATCCTCATGTATCTACTCTGCTGTTCTTATTTAATTCATGATTTTCAGAGTTATCTAGACTCACTAATAGATTACTGTTTCAATAGTAAGTGTTGGCTTCACTCATTTTTTGTTTTCTTTCTCTTTTGGCAATACACAAAAAGTGAGCGTTACTTGTAACTTAACTCTTGTGTAATTTGTAAGAATATTTCCTCCTCTGTGGTTAGAAAATCATACATTAGCCTATAAGATTCATAATAAGAAGTTATTAGGGTATGTTGCAAGACCCCCCCTATCCTAGCACGCAGCCCCTCCATAAAACGCGCCACCGTCCAGCGGGAACGCGCATCCCTGCTCATTGTTGCACACACCCGCCCTCACTTTGCCTCACAAATACCACTACTGAGGGAGAAGGGCAAACGAAGCAGGCACAGTGCGCTGGGCCGACGATGGCAGACAAAATTTGCTTCTCATCAGTTATGTGCGGTTACCTCCCCTTTCATCGGGGACTGGCAAGGTCACTTTTTATGCTTTGGGTAGCACAGACTACCGCCGCTACTCTAAGTCTGTATAATCAACATACAATATAAATAATTCTTACACATATTTATTGCGAAAACAATTGGCTTCAATAAGGATAGATGTAACTAAACAAGACTGCAGATTTTGTGAAGTTTTGACGACTGCTTGCCAACCAGACAAGTGACTCTTGATCCCATGAGTGGGCCTCTGAAACCCCCCTCCATCTCGCCCTAAATTCTCCTGTCTAAGATGAAAAATGTCTAAGACTGAATTTTTTCTGGCTTCCTTGCGATTCCGTCTTACACAGATTTGACTGTACTTTGAAAAATATTGTAAGATTCTCATTTCATCTAGGCATAATAGCTTTGTGGTTAAAGACAAAGCAAGACCAAGACATCTTCAAGTTTCACTTTATTCTTCACAGATAGAATTACCAGAGCTTCACCCCACTATTCATGTCTCCTTAGAGAAACTGCTGACTTCAAGTCTTAAGCCACAGGCTGTGGAAAATCTGTCTATTCTGCAATTTTAGTTTTAGTCAACAATCCTTGTATCTACTTACAAATTTGCTGAGAGCTTCCTTGATTGTAGTTCCCTTGGACTGTGAAATAGAAGAAAGAAAAAATCAGGTTGATCATCTCATCCACAAAACAATCCATATGTTCACCGAAAACAAGGTTCATCAACAAAATAAAAATGCAATTCTAGGATTGAAAGAAATGTGCATCAGTTTAGTGTTACATTCAAATGAAATGGTATTTACCAGGCAGGATCTCATATGAATTAAACATCCACATCTCTGTCTAGCATCTCTGTTTGTTACCATTTTTTTGTCCAAAAGTTGTCACAAAAAAGGCAAAAGTTGCCATAAAAGATGCCAATAATTTTCAAGCTTTTAACCCTCTGTGACAACGCAACGTGTTGATAGATGTAACTCTAAAGCACCATAATTTCTTATGCTCCGTTTTAAGCATCCAGAATATCATTTGTAGCTACACAGAGTGTAAAAACGTGAAAAATAAAGGTTTTAAAACGGAATGAAATCAAAATTTGAACAGCACATAAACAACCACAAATAAATTAACAAAAAACGGGGGTATTCACCTATCCGCAAATTGGCCGTTTTAACCCTAAATGTGTGTAATTCAAGAAAAAGTACAGGATACTGGGTATTACAAGTAAATTATGAAATCACAAAGGGGCCTGCCAGTGTCAGTATTCTGTTTTCGTGGAGACAAGCTCTTCATAACACATATTTATATATTTTATAAAAGGTAGGAACAACATTTAATTAAATGACATTACGCTGTATAAACACAAAAAATAGAAAACACACCAGAACAATAACAAGAACAAAATTTAACACACCAGAAAATTAAAACACAACAAAGAGGGAAAAATAAAGAGACCAGCAATATAAGTAGTATAATAATATGTAATGTATACATATTATATTTGTGAAAGTTCGTCACTCAGGCCGCCTAAAACTTTGGAACCACTTAACTTTTGAATTTGACAAAATTAATTGTGGTTCAGAATCATTTAAAGGGTGCACAGTTCTATTGAGGAGCCTGAATTACTGTAGTTTAATTTTCAGTTTTTCATTAGTTTCGTTTAGATCTATCTTGGGAAAGTCCGCCTTCTAAGATGCCATTGTAAAATAGTGACGTTTTCGTTCAATAGCCGTGCACACTGTTTCCACACCTTTGAAATTCTGGAGTGTACAACCACGAAAGTGGAATAGAGAATCAATCTACACATCACTATATCTAAATCTTCTAATTTTTTACATCGCCAGGATTTATTGCTCCATTCCAGTATGGGTGTAAATATAGTAGGCCAATGACTTTCAGTTGATGTTAATGCACAGTCATTCCCTTCAACGAAAGGGGGGCCAGTAAGTGTACTTATATTCTTCTCATGAAAAATGAAAATAACAAATCAACGTCGTGTCACCAAGTGAGAAAGAGATGAAGTGAAGCAGAAGTTAGTGAAAATAAACTTTCTTTCTAAGAGTAAGAGGTTTGCTTTATTTTTTGTTTGCTTGTTTTTCATTTTTTTGTCTTCAAAAGAGTTTGTACACATTGAAGTAAGACACAAGCACATTTGACCCTATTCTTCATTTCAATGCTCCCCGCTCTCATTTTGTGCGAGCTGTGCGCAGAGGAATTATATTATGAGGGGAAGTCTTATAATTGGTGACCAGTTAGAGAATAAAATCTTTTTGTGAAAGAGAAATAAGGAGCAGAGATGAGAGAACAAGTTTGCCCCTATCTTATAAGTAGGATTATTGCAGAAGTCAGAAGGACTAAACATGAATGGATCTAATTATTTAAATAGTTAAGGTTAGTGTTGTAATAGGAATGACGATGAGCGAAGACAATAATTGGTAGCACCCAAATCAATGCAAAATATTTACAGTAGCCACCATGTATTCATCTTCAATTTATAACATGACAAAGTTTTCTTTAAACTATGTGTGACAACCTACTGTGTGAAAATGAACATGAAAACAAAACACACGCCACACTAATATTCAAATACATAAGACATAGACATAGATCTAGATTCTAGATCTATACTATCAACATCTGCAACACAGAGTACACTGGAAAAAGAATATAAATTTTACTCTCATAAAAATTAATATAAAAATTCTCAGAACGTACCATTTTGGAAGCAGAAGTGGTTCCCTTCACACTTTCAACAACTCGATCAAACTCGGATCAATTATCGCTACTCAATATTTCCTCGCGAAAGGAAGTACATACTTGTGAGTTGCCTAGTTACATTCTGCGCTGAGCCCTAACAATTTAATTGAAAAAGCATTAAGATATATTATTTTGATCAATAATTGATAATATTGCTTTGGAAGATTATAAAAAAAATAAAGTTAAGAATTTTTTTTACAATTTGATAATTTGACTACCGGAAGTACTATTTCATAAATAAACAATGGGTTCGGAGAAACGGTTCCGCCAGGCTGGCTGATTGGCGTATCAAAATGACTGCAAGGAACGACTTTATTGATAGTATCGATACCATATACTTTCCCCACCATCAGTTCCTATAAAAATATATGTATTTCCAATTCCGATACCACTGAAAACTGAAAAGACCTTATCGATACCACTTTGTTAGCAATGGCGGCGCCATTCAAAGTGCCGAAAGGGTAAGAAATGAAGTTAGTGGTTAGTTTTAAGTGCCTCACACTTGCATATTGTAAGCAGCCTAACCACAATACTGACTGATACCCGTACACATCATTTACCCCTGACTGCAAGACAAATGCTGCATAAATCCTTTAAAAGTCAGTGTGTCTGTATCAGACTGCTCACAGAGAAGATGGTGTGTGTTGTGTACAAGTTCACAGCTGGTTAAGTTGGTTAGGGTATGTTGCAAGACCCCCCCTATCCTAGCACGCAGCCCCTCCATAAAATGCGCTACCGTCCAGCAGGAACGCGCTGATACTTTATAGTCACTAGATCTCTAGATCTAGATCTAGTAGGGGGGGGGGTTTTTTTTTTTTTTTTTAGGGGGGGGGGGGGGGGGGGTCTTCCCCCCTGAAATACCATGTGAATTTGCGGCGTTGACATTTTTTAACGCCAAAATCGGAAAAGCTACAAAATAAGACCCTTAAGAGATGGTAGTGATTCTATAAATTTATCCATTCTTTGAACACTTAAACTTGAGTATTAATTTCTCATCACTTCATCTTCTTTCGTTCCACCCAGCAGTCTAACCAGCTGTGTTGCACCGTCTTGTTATTATTATCCAAGCGTCTTTCGACTTAAACTTGCTCAAACTCTAACTCAGATGATTATGAGAGATGAACAAGACATCTACTTTTGTGCAAACAATGTCAGAAACAATTGTTAGATCTAATCTAGATCTAGATCTATCCAATATTGATCGGAATAAGGCAACGTCATTAAAAAAATGAGTCAAATCCTAGGAGGTTTATCAAAATGAGTAAGCTTCCACAATTCAGGCAGAACTATAATATTATCATGTAGAAACAATGGCTACTACATCTAGATCTAGATTCTAGTACTGGCGTTTCAAATAGCACGGGAGCTATTCAGAACGCGACGTTGCAAATAGCGCTTGCATAGATTAAAACCCCCTACCAGGGCAGTGCTAATGACTGAATTGTCTCATTACTAAATGTTCTTATAATACATGATCTGCATGATGTAGATTTGTTAATGGAGGGCTGATTTAATCAATGTCATGCTCATCATATTGAACTGTGCCGCAACAAAGGGAGAACTGCTACTTTTTTCTTTCCTCATCCTTACTATTGTCATTTTCTCTCTACTTTTTTTGTATGTTTATCACTTTCTTGTGAACTGCTATTTCTGGGGTGCCTAGACAGTCGAAGCATATTTTGTGCTGTTGTGGCTAGAGAGGTGAACAGAGTAAGCCTGATTCCCCGTTTGGACTTCTCCGTTGATATCCTCCCCTTAACGTTCGAGCAGGGAGTCCCCCAGGGCAGCGTCCTGTCCCCCACACTGTTCCTTGTCTTCATTGATGATATTGAAGCAGGCCTGCCTGAAGCTGTGAAGACGTGCCTGACTCTATCTTGATGACTATACAATATACGCCACCAACATAAATCAGGCTGAAAACAGTGTCCAAGCTGCCATAAACTCACTTGAGCAGTGGGCAAAGCAAAACAAGATGGAGATCAGATGGAGAAAACAGAGTGCTCCTTCTTCACCACCAGCACTCACGAGGCCATGCGAAAACCAGCGCTCTCGCTCAAAGGCTTCCCCATCACCTTCAACTCCAACCCCACCTTACACGGGGTCACAATGGGGTGCCTCAAGGGAATGCATATAGCGAATTTATTATGCTACTTGTCGGTCAGCTATCGACTATTGTGCCCCTGCCTACATGCCTCTTGCCAAACCCTCCAACCTGCAGAAACTGGAAAGAAAACAGAATGAATTAGCAAGAGTAATCACGGGCTGCTCAAAGGATACTCGTGTGGACAGCCTCCTCATCGAAGCAGACACTTTACCACTAAGGCATAGAGCTGATGCCTTGACTGCCATCTCACTCGAGAAGTCCATGCATCTGCCTGCAATGAACCAACGCAGAGCCTCCGCAACAAAATCAGTGCCCACGCGGACAGGCAAGTCGAACTTGAGAAAGCATGCCCAGAACCTCGTAGCTGAAACTGAACTGGATACGTACCCACGTGAGGAGCTGGTTGTTTTACCCCCCACACAACCGTGGAAGGCTGCATCATGCAACGTGACTTTTAGCACCAGTCTTGTCGTCGATTGCAAACGTGCTAAGGAACCAGCTGTCAGGAAAGCAGCAGCAGAGGCTACAATTCAATCACTCCCCCTGCCTGATGTAGAAGTCTGGACCGACGGTTCAGCTAAGCAGGGTACTGAGTATGGAGGCAGTGGAATACTCATCAAGACAGGTGATACTGAACTCGACCAACGCATACCCGCGGGTCGATATTGTTCCAGCTATAGGGCCGTGCTTGTAGCTCTCGACACAGCGCTGGACATGCTTGTGGCACTACATACAGCAGGCAGCCTTCTGAACAGTGTACGCATCCATGTATACACTGATTCCAGGTCAGCAGTCACGCGCCTCTCATACGGCCCTACCAACCAATCGGAAAAGGTGGCTTGCTCAATCTGGCAGCATCTGCACACCCTCTGTCAACGCTCTGAATGTTCCATCCACTTACAGTGGATTCCAGGCCACGCTGGACTGGCTGGGAACGAGGAAGTCGACAGCATCGCCAAAGAAGCAACAGCACTTACCCAGATTGACACCCCAATCGATTTCTCAACAGCTAAAGCCGTCATCCACCGATAGACCCGCACAAAGTGGAAGAGAGAGGCGAAACCCAAACTGCCGTTTTCCCAGCCGCCATCATGCCAGCTTGAGGCCTCGCTCAGACGACAGGACCGCCGGCTTCTCTCCCAAATGAGAACTGGTGGAAAATTCCCAAACTGAGATCATATCTCCTCAAAATTGCGCCAGCAGACAACCAAGATCCGTCCTGTCGAGCCTGCAAGGAAGAGGACGAAACTATGGACTATGTGTTTCTGAGATGTCCCGCCAGCTATCGTGCCAGAACGCGTCTGCTGGGACATTTCAGTAACTCACTTTCAGCACTTTTTAAGGACCCCCGGGCAAGTGTTGATTTCCTGCGTGCTGTCGGTAAAGCTAACCGTTTAAGAAGCCACAGCGCCAGAAGAGAGAGAGAGAGAAATTTCATATGACTGTATGCAGTTGTGAGCGTTGTAAAACCTTACTAAAACTAAACTGAAAATTAATTCTAGTATTGTTATACTATAGAAGATATTTATAATTAATTGATTATAATTATAAAATAAATAATTTAGATAAGTGAGACTTGAGCAGATAATGAATTTTGAAGCAGTAAAAACTTTCAGATCATAAGGCACAGTACTAAGCTTTTTCATCTGGAATATAAACAACTTTGTACAATTTAGTATTAAGTTCACCAATCTCAACGACTGACGAACTGGGCAAACAAACAAGAGCCCACTGGCAGTGGTATCTTAATATTAATGTAGGGTGTATTCATTAACCAGCAACATTCTAATACCCTTCATTTCGGTGTTCAATCTAAATGTAAAGATAATGAAACTTGGCAAACAACCAGAGGAAAAAAGGCCAAACTGAACGTTGCAAAATGTTTCAGTTTCATCTGAAATCAAACTTGCACACATTAACGCTCGTCAATCCCTCTGCCTATAGTAGGCATTTAAGCCTAAAGTGACTGTGACAGTCATTGTCTATACTATATGCAATGGACTCTTGCTGAGAAATTTTGTATTACTCCAGCACCTGGCCAGCAGATGCTGTGATTAAGACTCAAACTGAGTAGTGTACTATTATTATCATCACTAGCAGTTTATAACATGTCACCACTATAATAAAGCGATAGTTTTTAGTTTCAAATCAGAAAACTTCACCTAAAAGTAGAGTGGACACGTACACTTTTTTTTAAAAAGGGGAGGGTGTGGGGTGTCATGGCTCGTGGTAAGGCCACTGGAAAAAAGAGTTGAGGTGATTAGGTGGGAACAGGAAGTGTAGAAAGGAGGCAGAGAGGGTGTTAATCTCTGTCTTGTGTGATGACTCTGGCTGTTCATTGTCTCTCACACGCTTGTAAAACAGCTTTTTGTTTTAAAATGTATTACAATTTATGCTGTTGTTGGGAATACAAGGCTAACGTTCTTTAAGTTCCTCTATCTCTCTAAAAGAACCTGCTGCATGATCTCAGTTCTGATATTTTTTCTACCAGTATTGATGAGTATCTGAATAGTATGAATAAGCCAGTCAAAATAATTGAAAGACCTTTTAATTCTCCACCTACTCCCTGAAACTTGTTTTACTTCACAGATTGCACAATGATGGAGGAACGAATATGCGTCAGACACCTCAGATCCTAGCTAGGTTGACTGGGGGTCTCTCTCAACTGTATAGAGACATAAAGAATGGAAAATGTCACTCAGTATCAGGTAACTGGTAAATCAACCAAGTTGTCTAATTCACTTTATTATTGTGGTCTTTATCTTAATTGCAGTTACTTTTTTTTTGGGGGGGGGGGGGGGGGTTAACTTCTGAAAGAAAAGATAATGGTTATTCAAAAAATAATTGTCAATAAGAGAGTCGATTTACAGTTCATATTGTCTCATTTTGCACCAACATATATCATTTGTGGAAATCTTTATTTGACAAAATTCCTATTTTAGGCGGCTGCGATTGGTTTATTCAATTTCCTTAAAATTTTTTATTGAAAAAAATGAGTTTTTAGTATGTTTGAGACTATTTGAACCTGTAAATCTTACAGAACTGGCTTTTTATTTTTTTAAAAGTGAGAATAAGAGAGCGTTTGTAATGGAAAGATGAATCCTCCAGTCCATTTCACTGGCGAATATAAAACTACATCTATTGCTTTTTTTAGGACTGAAGATAACTGCAATCAAGACCTAGATCTTGATGGGTTACAATTTTGATAGTGAGGGCATTGATGACTTGTTATTCCTGGTGGGCGCCGGGAAAATGTTGATTTTTTAACCCACAAATCTCAGGTACTTTTAATACACATAAATAACAATACCATAAATGCATTCTATATTTTATTACCTGTGAAATGACATCTAATGTATATTATAAATCTGTTGGTGTAGAACTTTTTAACTCCCTTCACTTTCACCTTCTCAGGAAATTACCGAAATGCTCTGTTTCAGAAAAAAGTACAGACCATGTGGGGCATTTCTTGCCAGTTAGTGGTCTTTTGATGCATGATCGTTACAGGATTCAGTCGTGCATACAAGCACACGGGCAGTCAGCTGTTCTTGTCAAAGCAGAGGTCAGTGGATTTTTTTTCCCCGGTTTCCATCACATGTTTCTAGTGTTGAAAGGGGACTGCAGTAAAATCAACAAATCTCGAATAAAAAAAATCATGAATTCTCTGGTATCTCGAACATAATGCTCGGTCCCGTTTCAACCCCTATGTTTTCTTTGTATTGACTTCACAGCGTTACGAAACATGCAGCACTCGAATCTCGAACAAATTTACTTTGCATTCTCAACTAAAGACCCGGCTTTACAGCCTTTCTGGCCGCGGGTTGGTGTTTCTTTGTTATTGTTACAGTTACAGCCAAAATGTGGTCCTTTTCTCGCCACAATAGGCTGGAGGAAGGGGGATTGGGGAGTGATGCTGACCGCACCGCATGACTGGCTTGCCATGCGTGCAATCATGCTGTTGGACGTGTGCGGTGCTAGAGGTGTAACTTTCTGTAAGCCAATGAAATGAGAGAAAAGGAATGACATATGAGTCGGCTGTGCATGCACTAGATTTTCTGCTTCCCACTGTCATTCATCTTTTTGCTTTCACACCGTCAACACGTTCATCAAGGGGGCTAACCGTGTTAATTGTTTTAATTGGTTTTTTTTTTTTTACCTCCCTTGATTTTTTCTCTATTTCTTTGTAATTGGGGCTTCCACAGACATGGCGAATTGCGGAAATTTCTAACTATATTTCCAGTCCCTGACGAATTTGAGTTACTTGTGTTTGACTGTATGTATTTTTGACTCAGACTTTCTGCATTACAACAGTCTTGTGGTACATAACAGACTTGCAGTACATTACAGATGTGCAACATATGACAGCTATTTGTTCAATATGAAAGCTAATAAGAGCATTTGTTCCCAATGGATTGAAAGTAAATGCTGAGCATGAGTATCCAGGTTGTTGCTCTTCTTTTCTTGTGGCATGATTTTATGCTTTGAGGCCAGCTTCAATTACAGGTTTGGCAGTCTTCTGTAGCACATTTCACTGGCCCGTGTAATTTCTCCCAGAGGTTCAGGAAAGTTTGTTTTTTCTCTTGTTCTGAAGGACGTGCTCGGCTGTCTGGTCAGCTTCTATTTAACTGCTTATTACTTTTGTTATTAAGTTGCTTACAACCTTTGTTCTTCAGGATCTGTGTAAAAACATGAAAGCTGTTGTCATCAAGGTGATGCACACATCCTTTCAGGCTGTGGGTCTGAGAGAGATGAATACCTTGAGGAGGCTTCACAGAGCAGATGCTGAGAGCACATCCCACTGTTTACATTTACTGGTAAGGAAGTTGAAGATAAAGTTGAGAAGGTTTTTATGTTTCTGACTCCTACTTTTGGTATATGGAAATAGCTTTTGGTAGAAGTTGTAAAACCGGCTGCGTCATCCTCTGCCTCTGTACTTTAGTCTGTTTTGTTGCTGTGTAATGATGACCCTTTTGTATTGAAGGATGAAAACCTATAAATAGCCTATCATTGGTAACAATTACCCTTTTGTGTAGTAGCCACCCACCTGCTTTGACTGGATACTCCTTCAGCTCAGTTGTTATCATGCTAGATTGTAGGATTAAGAGGACTGTGCTTAGTTTGATCATGGATTCATGAAAGTGTTTTTATAGCTTTAACACCCTTTTGGTCTAAAAGGTGCACTTTATTGGTCCTCTCTCTCTCTCTCTCTCTCTCTCTCTCTCTCTC